TGTTAAACATGACCCCAACACTGTGAAACATGACCCCAACACTGTGAAACATGATCCAACACTTTGAAACATGACCCCAACACTGAAACATGACCCCAACACTGTGAAACATGACCCCAACACTGAAAAACATGACCCCAACACTGAAACATGACCCCAACACTGTGAAACATGACCCAACACTGTGAAACATGACCCCAACACTGAAACATGACCCCAACACTGTGAAACATGACCCTACACTGAAACATGACCCCAACACTGAAACATGACCCCAACACTGTGAAACATGACCCAACACTGTGAAACTTGACCACAACACTGAAATATGACCCCAACACTGTGAAACATGACCCAACAGTGAAACATGACCCCAACACTGAAACATGACCCTAACACTGTGAAACATGACCCAACACTGTGAAACTTGACCACAACACTGAAATATGACCCCAACACTGTGAAACATGACCCAACACTGAAACATGACCCCAACACTGAAACATGACCCCAACACTGTGAAACATGACCCAACACTGTGAAACTTGACCACAACACTGAAATATGACCCCAACTCTGTAAACATGACCCAAACACTATGCAACATGACCCCCAACACTGTGCAACATGACCCCAACACTGTGCAACATGACCCTAACACTGCAACATGGCCCCAATACTGTGCAACTTGACTGTGGAACATGACCCCAACACTGTGAAACATGATCCAACACTGTGAAACATGACCCCAACACTGTGAAACATGATCCCAACACTGTGAAACATGACCCCAACACTGTGAAACATGATCCAACACTGTGAAACATGACCCCAACACTGTGAAACATGATCCCAACACTGTGAAACATGACCCCAACACTGTGAAACATGATCCCAACACTGTGAAACATGATCCCAACACTGTGGAACATGATCCCAACACTGTGAAACATGATCCCAACACTGTCAAACATGACCCCAACACTGTGAAACATGACCCCAACACTGTGAAACATGACCCCAACACTGTGAAACATGATCCCAACACTGTGAAACATGATCCCAACACTGGTTACCTGGTTGATACCTGGTTGATGGGGTTCTGGGAGTTCTTCTACTCCCCAAGCCCGGCCCGAGGCCAGGCTCGACTTGTGAGAGTTTGGTCCACCAGGCTGTTGCTTGGAGCGGCCCGCAGGCCCACATACCCACCACAGCCCGGTTGGTCCGGCACTCCTTGGAGGAATAAATCTAGTTTCCTCTTGAAAATGTCCACGGTTGTTCCAGCAATATTTCTTATGCTTGCTGGGAGGACGTTGAACAACCGCGGACCTCTGATGTTTATACAGTGTTCTCTGATTGTGCCTATGGCACCTCTGCTCTTCATTGGTTCTATTCTACATTTTCTTCCATGTCGTTCACTCCAGTACGTTGTTATTTTACTGTGTAGATTTGGTACTTGGCCCTCCAGTATCTTCAAGGTGTATATTATTTGATATCTCTCTCGTCTTCTTTCTAGTGAGTACATTTGGAGGGCTTTGAGACGATCCCAATAATTTAGGTGCTTTATTGCGTCTATGCGTGCCGTATATGTTCTCTGTATTCCCTCTATTTCAGCAATCTCTCCTGCTTTGAAGGGGGAAGTGAGTACTGAGCAGTACTCAAGACGGGACAGCACAAGTGCCTTGAAGAGTACAACCATTGTGATGGGATCCCTGGATTTGAAAGTTCTCGTAATCCATCCTATCATTTTTCTGGCTGTCGCAATATTTGCTTGGTTATGCTCCTTAAACGTTAGGTCGTCCGACATTATTATTCCCAAATCCTTTACATGCTGTTTGCATATGGTCTGTTACATGACCCCAACACTGTGAAACATGACCCCAACACTGTGAAACATGACCCCAAAACTATGCAACATGACCCAACACTGTGAAACATGACCCCAACACTGAAACATGACCCCAACACTGTGAAACATGACCCCAACACTGTGAAACATGACCCCAACACTGTGAAACATAACTCCAACACTATGCAACATGACCCCAACACTGTGAAACATGACCCCAACACTGTGAAACATGACCCCAATACTGTGAAACATGATCCCAACACTGTGAAACATGACCCCAACACTGTGAAACATGATCCAACACTGTGAAACATGACCCCAACACTGTGAAACATGATCCCAACACTGTGAAACATGACCCCAACACTGTAAAACATGATCCCAACACTGTGAAACATGATCCCAACACTGTGGAACATGATCCCAACACTGTGAAACATGATCCCAACACTGTCAAACATGACCCCAACACTGTGAAACATGACCCCAACACTGTGAAACATGACCCCAACACTGTGAAACATGATCCCAACACTGTGAAACATGATCCCAACACTGGTTACCTGGTTGATACCTGGTTGATGGGGTTCTGGGAGTTCTTCTACTCCCCAAGCCCGGCCCGAGGCCAGGCTCGACTTGTGAGAGTTTGGTCCACCAGGCTGTTGCTTGGAGCGGCCCGCAGGCCCACATACCCACCACAGCCCGGTTGGTCCGGCACTCCTTGGAGGAATAAATCTAGTTTCCTCTTGAAAATGTCCACGGTTGTTCCAGCAATATTTCTTATGCTTGCTGGGAGGACGTTGAACAACCGCGGACCTCTGATGTTTATACAGTGTTCTCTGATTGTGCCTATGGCACCTCTGCTCTTCATTGGTTCTATTCTACATTTTCTTCCATGTCGTTCACTCCAGTACGTTGTTATTTTACTGTGTAGATTTGGTACTTGGCCCTCCAGTATCTTCAAGGTGTATATTATTTGATATCTCTCTCGTCTTCTTTCTAGTGAGTACATTTGGAGGGCTTTGAGACGATCCCAATAATTTAGGTGCTTTATTGCGTCTATGCGTGCCGTATATGTTCTCTGTATTCCCTCTATTTCAGCAATCTCTCCTGCTTTGAAGGGGGAAGTGAGTACTGAGCAGTACTCAAGACGGGACAGCACAAGTGCCTTGAAGAGTACAACCATTGTGATGGGATCCCTGGATTTGAAAGTTCTCGTAATCCATCCTATCATTTTTCTGGCTGTCGCAATATTTGCTTGGTTATGCTCCTTAAACGTTAGGTCGTCCGACATTATTATTCCCAAATCCTTTACATGCTGTTTGCATATGGTCTGTTACATGACCCCAACACTGTGAAACATGACCCCAACACTGTGAAACATGACCCCAAAACTATGCAACATGACCCAACACTGTGAAACATGACCCCAACACTGAAACATGACCCCAACACTGTGAAACATGACCCCAACACTGTGAAACATGACCCCAACACTGTGAAACATAACTCCAACACTATGCAACATGACCCCAACACTGTGAAACATGACCCCAACACTGTGAAACATGACCCCAATACTGTGAAACATAACTCCAACACTATGCAACATGACCCCAACACTGTGAAACATGACCCCAACACTGAAACATGACCCCAAGACTGTGAAACATGACCCCAACACTGTGAAACATGATCCCAACACTGTGGAACATGACCCCAACACTGTGAAACATGACCCCAACACTGTGAAACATGACCCCAACACTGTGAAACATGACCCCAACACTGTGAAACATGATCCCAACACTGTGGAACATGACCCCAACACTGTGAAACATGACCCCAACACTGTGAAACATGATCCCAACACTGTGGAACATGACCCCAACACTTTGAAACATGACCCCAACACTGTGAAACATGACCCCAACACTGTGAAACATGACCCCAACACTGTGAAACATGATCCCAACACTGTGAAACATGACCCCAACACTGTGAAATATGACCCCAACACTGTGAAACATGACCCCAACACTGTGAAACATGATCCCAACACTGTGAAACATGACCCCAACACTGTGAAACATGATCCCAACACTGTGAAACATGATCCCAACACTGTGAAACATGATCCCAACACTGTGGAACATGACCCCAACACTGTGAAACATGACCCCAACACTGTGAAACATGACCCCAACACTGTGAAACATAACTCCAACACTATGCAACATGACCCCAACACTGTGAAACATGACCCCAACACTGTGAAACATGACCCCAACACTGTGAAACATGACCCCAAAACTATGCAACATGACCCAACACTGTGAAACATGACCCCAACACTGAAACATGACCCCAACACTGTGAAACATGACCCCAACACTGTGAAACATGACCCCAACACTGAAACATGACCCAACACTGTGAAACATGACCCCAACACTGTGAAACATAACTCCAACACTATACAACATGACCCCAACACTGTGAAACATGACCCCAAAACTATGCAACATGACCCCAAGACTGTGCAACATGACTGTGGAACATGACCCCAACACTGTGCACTGTGAAACATGACCCCAAGACTGTGCACTGTGGAACATGACCCCAACACTGTGCACTGTGAAACATGACCCCAACACTGTGCACTGTGAAACATGACCCCAACACTGTGCACTGTGAAACATGACCCCAACACTGTGCACTGTGAAACATGACCCCAACACTGTGCACTGTGAAACATGACCCCAACACTGTGCACTGTGAAACATGACCCCAACACTGTGCACTGTGAAACATGACCCCAACACTGTGAAACATGACCCCAACACTGTGCACTGTGAAACATGACCCCAACACTGTGAAACATGACCCCAAGACTGTGCACTGTGAAACATGACCCCAACACTGTGCACTGTGCACTGTGAAACACCCCAACACTGTGAAACATGACCCCAACACTGTGCACTGTGAAACATGACCCCAAGACTGTGCACTGTGAAACATGACCCCAACACTGTGAAACATGACCCCAAGACTGTGCACTGTGAAACATGACGCCACACACCCCATCAGCTTACGATGAAAACACAGGCGGATATTCAACAACAAAAACTTTCAGTCTGTTACCGACCTCCGCATAGACTTGGTACTCGTGTTGGTAAATCCTGTTCTTGAGGCGGATGGTCGTCTCAGCCACCTGGGTGACGAAGTCCTTGAAGAAAACCCGTTGCCTGGGTTGACCAGCGTCCAGTACCACTCTCACGGCCAGCTCTGGAGAACGCCACCACGGTGGTTAACACGAAGGCGATGTCAGGTTACAGGTCATAGAACAGTGGTAGGAATTGATGTTTGAAAGCACATATATAACATTGCGAAAAAAATGATAATGTGAGCTACAGGAACATTTAGTTTTAACACGGTCCCGAGAAATGGAGAATTCACAGGTTTAATGGGAAAATTTCAACCCGTCTTCATCAACAAAGGTAAAATGCTCGTTAATCCAGCCGCCAAACCACCGGTCTATAAATGAAAACGGTTTACACACATGACTTATAACTAACCCATCCTCAGACTAAGTCCATTACATCCAGCGGTCGACCCCAAAGACGCATTCATCAATTTTAACATGCTGTTCACTCAAAATAGGAATTTTCTCAAATAAAAATTAATATTATTCTATATTAGCACATTGTGCATATTTAGGCATAGCTTAGGTTTTTTTTTTTTTGAGATATATACAAGAGTTGTTACATTCTTGTACAGCCACTAGTACGCGTAGCGTTTCGGGCAAGTCCTTAATCCTATGGTCCCTGGAATACGATCCCCTGCCGCGAAGAATCGTTTTTTCATCCAAGTACACATTTTACTGTTGCGTTAAACAGAGGCTACAGTTAAGGAATTGCGCCCAGTAAATCCTCCCCGGCCAGGATACGAACCCATGACATAGCGCTCGCGGAACGCCAGGCGAGTGTCTTACCACTACACCACGGAGACTGCTGTTAGGTGTTAGGTTAGGTTAGGTGTTTAGGTTCTGTTGGCGATTATATTTTTGTTTGTTTACTTGTTGGGTGGAGACATGGCGAAGGCTCTTACTTGGGATTGTAGAGAATACACTTCGATTCCTTCTCGATATCTTTATTGTGTGGATAACACAATATGACCAGTTCATCCGATGTCCTACCTTACTCTAGCCTGGCTATACACTGCTGCCCCTATTTGGGCAGGCACCCATGCGGATCTATGGGTAATGACGTCAGAGACCTAGTGCCTTGTGATTGGCTAGTACTCTAAAAGTCTACAATTTGAAGGCTGACATCGTTTGGAAATGCTACCAAGTCTACGTCCCTTGTCGACAAATCTCTGGCTAGCTAATGCATTGATTTAGAAGGACCTCGGTGGTTTAAAATTAATGCTTAATGTAAAAGATCGGATTACACATTAAATTACAGAACAGGTGTGCACTTATACTGATTATACTGACACCGCTTGGCATGAAGCATTTATAGCATTGTGGTCCAAAAAAAACCATCAGCGATGCACTTGTTCCGGAAGGGTTCAGACGTCATCAGTTGTGAGTCGTGTGTTAACTGTTTTTCATTCATAAACAGAGGGTTACCTAGTTGATGGGGTTCTGGGAGTTCTTCTACTCCCCAAGCCCGGCCCGAGGCCAGACTTGACTTGTGAGAGTTTGGTCCACCAGGCTGTTGCTTGGAGCGGCCCGCAGGCCCACATACCCACCACAGCCCGGTTGGTCCGGCACTCCTTGAAGGAAACAATCTAGTTTCCTCTTGAAGATGTCCACGGTTGTTCCTGTAATATTTCTGATGCTCGCTGGTAGGACGTTGAACAACCGTGCACCTCTGATGTTTATGCAGTGTTCTCTGATTGTGCCTATGGCACCCCTGCTCTTCACTGGTTCTATTCTGCATTTTCTTCCATGTCGTTCACTCCAGTACGTTGGTATTTTACTGTGCAGATTTGGGACCTGTCCCTCCAGTATTTTCCATGTGTATATTATTTGGTATCTCTCTCGTCTCCTTTCTAATGAGTACATTTGGAAATCTTTGAGACGATCCCAATAATTTAGGTGTTTTATCTCGTCTATGCGTGCCGTATATGTTCCCTGTATTCCCTCAATTTTAGCAATCTCTCCTGCTCTGAAGGGGAAAGTGAGTACTGAGGAGTACTCAAGACGGAACAACACAAGTGATTTGAAGAGTACAACCATTGTGATGGGATCTCTGGACTTGAAGGTTCTCGTAATCCATCCTATCATTTTTCTGACTGACGCAATACTTGCTTGGTTATGCTCCCTAAACGTTAGGTCGTCGGACATCATTACTCCCAAATCCTTGGCATGCTGTTTTCCTACTATGGGCAGATTCGATTGTGTTTTGTACCCTGTATTATGTTTAAGATCCTCATTTTTGCCGTATCTGAGTACCTGGAATTTATCACCGTTAAACATCATGTTATTTTCTTCTGCCCAATCGAAAACTTTGTTAATATCTGTTTGTAGTTTATCAATGTTTTCAGCAGAGGTAATTTTCATGCTGATTTTTGTATCATCTGCAAAGGATGACACGAAGCTGTGACTTGTGTTTTTGTCTATATCTGATATGAGAATAAGGAACAGCGGTAGTGAAAGGACTGTACCTTGAGGTACAGAGCTTTTAACTGAGCTTTTATCTGCGCTCGGACTCGATTTTACTTGATTGACTGTTACTCTTTGTGTTCTGTTCGACAGGAAATTGAGTATCCAGCTTCCTACTTTACCAGTTATACCCATTGACCTCATTTTGTGTGCAATCACTCCATGGTCACATTTGTCGAATGCCTTTGCAAAATCTGTGTATACGACATCTGCATTATGTTTTTCCTCTAATGCCTCAGTGATTTTGTCATAGTGGTCAAGTAGCTGTGAGGTTTGGCGGGTGAATGGAATGGACTATGGCCTTTTTTTATGAGGACGGGCTACACAACTGATGACGTTCGAACATTTCTCGAACAGTGCTGTGCTGATGACCTCTGCTCGAATATCAACGCTGTAAATGCTTCATCCACGTACTTCAAATACAAATAATCGCCAACAAAACTTGACACCTAACCTAACCTATGCCTAACTGTACATAGAACTTTGATATAATAATATTAACATATATGAAAGCAAAACAATTTTTAATACATAAATTGATGAATTTGTTAAATGAATATATGTTAAAATTTATGAATGTGTCTTGGAAGACAGCTGCCGCTTTAACGAACCTAGCCTAAGGACAGGTGGCATATGTATATACAGACCTATACTCTGCATCACCTTTCACCAGGTGAAGTAATTAATTAATGATTTTTAATTATTTTAATAATTAAAATAATTAAATTAAAGATTTTTAGCACAAATCTTTCCAGTTCATACGTTCTTCACTAGAGAAGGATGTTAAAAAAATTAACCCACAAGTTTAACAATTTGATTACGCCTGACGAGAAAAGCTGAATAACGTATTTGGCTGTCAAGAGCTACTGGAGAGTAAAACCCTGGAAGTACCCATGGGATTATCAAGACCCTCAAACCAAGCTACTCACTTCGTATGGTTCTTAGCCAATTACATTTTCGTGCGTACAGAATGGCGAAGTATCTTATCACTAGTGACTCCATATGTACCATGAACAGCCAGCCTACTAATGCCCAATGTCTGTGATATTCACAATTAGATCTTCTCTGGGTGTTGAATCCCTGTTGACCAGCGTGGCCATGTAAATATTGTAAGGATACCATTGGAATGGTATTGCGTAAAGTTTACTGCGATCCAGATTGCTCCTGACATCCCACAACTTATACTTAACGCAACTGTACGAAGTATGTCCCCGTGAGTATGTTTCCCGATCCCCTGATGGTTTTATGTACAATAAAATAGGTAGAGTCACCATGGGAGATTCCTCTCGTTGTCCACTTTGCGAATTATAATATGGGTAACATTCAGAAGAAAGTGTTTGTTGATCTTAGACTTGATGTCTACTGTAGGTATGTTGATGACATCTTCTTATAGGCACCCGACACAGAATGCTTGCAACATCTAAAATAAATTTTCGAGTCAAATACCGTGCTCAGGTTCACTTACGAGATCGACAGAGGAGGTAATCTGCCTTTCCTGGATGTAACAGTCTCGGAAAGGAATGTTGGCTTTCACACTTCAGTATATACTAAAGGAACTGACATGAGCCTTAAATCTAGTAGTGTTTGACTGCTAAAAGCGAAACTTGTTTTCAACGGAGGAAAAGGTCACGAAAGACTCAAGTGACCAAATCGTGACCACTGAACAATACTAAACAGAAAATATAGTTCACCGTATACCGGAGTAAGAAAATCGCCGACTTCACCATTAAAAACTCTGCCGACAACACACGAAACACTTTGACAGAAGGTAATTTCGTCTTTACCATTACTTCGGGACTGTCAGTCCCAAGCCTCAATGATCTCAATATGTAGACAAGACCACATTAATCGCTTTCAAGGTGCCTGGCAATGCCCAACCAACAACGCTCAACAAAAAAACATATAAGTTCCTGTTCTAGATCAGCGATTCTAGAGTAATTATTACACACACACACACACACACACACACACACACACACACACACACACACACACACACACACACACACACACACACACACACACACCTATACTGGACCTAGACCTTGGACCTATACTGTTTCTGATATATGTAAATGATCTTCCAGAGGGTATAGAATCGTTTCTCTCAATGTTTGCCGATGATGCAAAAATTATGAGGAGGATTGAAACTGAGGACGATAGTAGGAGGCTACAAGATGACCTAGACAGACTGAGTGAATGGTCCAACAACTGGCTGTTGAAGTTCAACCCGAGTAAATGCAAAGTAATGAAACTAGGTGGTGGAAATAGGAGGCCAAACACAGGATACAGAATAGGAGATGAAGTACTTAATGAAACGAACAGAGAGAAAGATCTAGGAGTTGATATCACACCAAACCTGTCTCCTGAAGCCCACATAAAAAGAATAACGTCTGCGGCATATGCGAGGCTGACTAACATCAGAACAGCGTTCAGGAACCTGTGTAAGGAATCATTCAGAATCTTGTACACCACATATGTAAGACCAATCCTGGAGTATGCGGCCCCAGCATGGAGCCCGTACCTTGTCAAGCACAAGACGAAGCTGGAAAAAGTCCAAAGGTATGCCACTAGACTAGTCCCAGAACTAAGAGGCATGAGTTACGAGGAAAGGCTGCGGGAAATGCACCTTACGACACTGGAAGACAGAAGAGTAAGGGGAGACATGATCACAACCTACAAAATCCTCAGAGGAATCGACCGGGTAAACAAGGATAAACTATTCAGCACTGGTGGGACGCGAACAAGGGGACACAGGTGGAAACTGAGTACTCACATGAGCCACAGAGACGTTAGAAGGAACTTTTTCAGTGTCAGAGTAGTTAACGGATGGAATGCATTAGGCAGTGATGTGGTGGAGGCTGACTCCATACACAGTTTTAAATGTAGATATGATAGAGCCCAGTAGGCTCAGGAATCTGTACACCAGTTGATTGACAGTTGAGAGGCGGGACCAAAGAGCCAAAGCTCAACCCCCGCAAGCACAAATAGGTGAGTAGGTGCGTACACACACACACACACACACACACACACACACACACACACACACACACACACACAGCGGAAGTGGAAGTTTGAAGACCTGGAAAATCGGGGTACCAATGAGAGCTCAAGCTCCATACATGGAACTCTGGCAGCAGATGGGAGGAAGATTGAGATCTTGGTAATCTACAATCCCCCACCAAACAGTAGAAGACCAAGGAAGGAGTATGATGACAACAACAAGGCATGTATAGATGAACTGCAGAAGGCAGCAACATTAGCTCACAGAATGAGAGCGAAACTGCTGGTCATGGGGACCTAAATCATGGAGAGGTAAATTGGGAATCGAGGAATCCCCATGGCGGGGAAGAAACGTGGGGAGAAAAGCTAGTAAATGTTATAAACAGGAATTTCCTAACACAACATGTGAAGGAAGACTCAAGGGAAAGAGGACGGAATACACTGAGCCTATTAGACCTTATTTTCACCCAGAACGTAGAAGACATCGAGAATTGGAACCTGAAATACCTCTAGGGGGCCCAATGACCATTGTGTCTTAGTCTCTGACTACATGATGGAACTTAAACTTGTGACCATGGGACAAGAGGTCTGGGAAAGGAGAGTTGACTACAGGAAAGGGGACTACAGGAGGATAAAGGACTATCTAGGAGGAGTGCAGTGAGAGGAAAAAATTACAGGAAAAACAGTCCAAGAGATGATGGACCTAGTCACACGGAAATGCAAGGAGGCCGAAGAGAGATTTATACCAACAGTAATGGAAAAAAAGCAAGAGGGAATATAATAACTTATGATTTAATAGACAGTGTCGGGAAGCAAAATTGAGAAACAGGAGGGAGTGGAGGAAGTACAGAAGACTAAGGACAGAGGACAACAGGATCAGATGAAACAGAGCTAGAAACGATTACATTAAGATAAGACGAACATCGGAAAGAAATTATGAGAACGATATTGTAATCAAAGCGAAAAAGCAACCTGATTTACTACACAGCCATATAAGAAGAAATATGTCGGTGAACGACCAAGTGATAAGACTAAGGAAAACAGAGTAAGCATATACAGAAAGTGACAAGGAAATCTGCGAGGCACTAAATGCCAGTTTCCATGGAGTGTTCACAACCGAGCTTGAGTAGCTCCCTGAGTACCCTAGATGAAAGACTATCAGATATAGAGGTGACAGCAGAGGAGGTAATGAAACAGTTGACAATACTGGATGCAACTAAATCGGTTGGACCAGACAAAGTATCCCCGTGGATACTAAAAGAGGAAGCGCAGGCCCTCAGCATGCCTCTGGCAAGGATCTTTAATGAATCATTTATGTCAGAAGAATTACCCAATTGCTGGAAGAGGGCAAATGAACCGATTTTCAAGAAAGGTAATAGGGAGGAGGCACTTAACTACAGACCCGTATCACTGACAAGCATCCCCTGTAAAATACTTGAAAGAATAATTAGGCAAAGGCTTGTTGCACACCTGGAGAACATTAGGTTTGTAAACAAACATCAACATGGGTTCTGGAAAGGGAAATCTTGCCTAACAAACCTTTTGGAATTCTATGATAAAATAACGAGGATAAGACAAGACAGATGGTTGGGCAGACTTCATATTTCTGGACTGCCAAAAAACCTTTGATACAGTACCACACATGTGACTGCTATTTAAACTTGAGAAGCAGGTGGGAGTAAGCGGAAAGGCCTTAGCATGGGTAAGGAACTACCTAACAAGAAGGAGCCAGAGAGTTACGGTAAGGGGTAAGAAGTCAGACTGGCGAACAGTAACGAGTGGAGTACCTCAAGGATCGGTGTTAGGACCAATTCTATTTCTAATATACGTTAACGACATGTTTACAGGAGTAGAATCCTACATATCGATGTTTGCGGATGATGCAAAGTTGATGAGAAGAGTTGTGACAGATGAGGATTGTAAGATCCTCCAAGAGGACTTGAATAGGTTACAGAGATGATCAGAGAAATGGCTACTGGAGTTCAACACGAGCAAATGTAAAGTAATGGAAATGGGACTAGGTGATAGGAGACCAAAGGGACAGTACACAATGAAGGGGAACTGCCTACCTGTGATGATGCCAGAAAGAGACCTGGGCGTGGATGTAACACCTAATGAAACTCCTGAGGCACATATAAATAGGATATCGACAGCAGCGCACTCTACACTGGTAAAAATAAGAACATCATTCAGAAACCTAAGTAAGGAGACATTTAGGACACTTTACACTGCCTACATGAAGCCAGTCTTAGAGTATGGCGCCCCATCATGGAGTTTCCACCTGAAGAATCATACAAAAAACTGGAAAAGGTTCAGAGGTTTGCAACGAGACTCGTCCCAACATTACGAGGGATGGGGAATGAAGAGCGCCTGAGCCTTACGACACTAGAAAAAAGAAGGGAGAGGGATGATATGATAGGAATGTATAAAATATTCAGGGGGATTGACAGAGTGGACATAGACGAAATGTTCACACGAAATAGTAACAGAACGAGGGGACATAGGTGGAAGCTGGAAACTCAAATGAGTCACAGAGATGTTAGGAAGTTTTCTTTTAGCGTGAGAGTAGTGGAAAAATGGAATGCACTTAAGGAGCAGGTTGTGGAAGCAAACTCTATTCATAATTTTAAAACTAGATATGATAGGGATGTAACGCCTGGAGAGTGCACCCATGACTCACCATGGGAACGTCCAGGTAAGATCAGCCTGTGACCTCAGATTCAGCTAGAGTTAATTGAAATATTTTCTGGCTCCACCCTAGTCAGCTTGTTCCTGTTTATTAATAATCCTGATGGTCTTGGCAAACAACTTAATGATACATCTTGATTGCTTTTTTGTACATCATGAGAAGCAGACGCCGTGATGTGCTGACCAAGTTGGCTGAATCAGCTGGGAACAGGTACACACCAGACTTTCCCACAACAGTGTAAAACGCCCCCCCCCCCTTCTGATTCAGTTGTATATATACCCCAGTATGATAGTTAGGAGAGAGTGCTGGAGAGGCTGCAGGTCAGTGAGGCTGCAGGTGAGCCTCAGGAGACAGAGTGAATCCACCCGACTGAGAGGCAGAGAGTGGTCTTAATTAAGGTAATGTGTGTGATCTTTGATACATTTTCCATGTCCTGGATCCTGTAACAATTGCCAGTATTGCCAGTGTTAAAGTAGGATTTTATAGTGGTGAATAGCAAAATTTATTCTCAATAAACTCATGTTAAACTTCCCATCTGTATCTTTTTTTTTTTTTTTTTTTTTTTTTTTTTTTTTTTTTTTTTTTTTTTTTTTTTTTTTTGAGATATATACAAGAGTTGTTACATTCTTGTACAGCCACTAGTACGCGTAGCGTTTCGGGCAGGTCCCTGGAATACGATCCCCGCCGCGAAGAATCGTTTTTTCATCCAAGTACACATTTTACTGTTGCGTTAAACAGAGGCTACAGTTAAGGAATTGCGCCCAGTAAATCCTCCCCGGCCAGGATACGAACCCATGACATAGCGCTCGCGGAACGCCAGGCGAGTGTCTTACCACTACACCACGGAGACTGTTTAATCAATTGTTGAATCCCCGTAGCTTCTGATATAATTTGCTAACAACCGTCCCATAATTATTGACAAGTTAAAGAAAGAGTACTCTCCAAGTCAAGCAATGTTTCTTGCCTCGTTGCTTGATATAGTAAATGGATAAGGCAGATGGTGGCAGCGTAATTAATCCTGTGTAGCATTTCCGTGTTGAATACCTTTGGTTCCAGTGTAAACCATTAGTGGTACTGTAATATATGGTGTACAGTTTTAGCAGGTTTACATTATTAATGTTTTTAATTTTCAGTTTATATTTATAGTGGTGTTACAGGGAAATAGGACCGGAGTCATTGCTGTAAACAACCGATGGCTCGAAAGGCGGGAGCCAAGAGTCAATGCTCGATCCTGCAGACACAAATAGGGGAGTACACACACACACACACACACACACACACACACACACACACACACACACACATACATACATACATACATACATACATACATACATACATACATACATAAAACAGGTCTCTTTGCCCCTATTCCCCAAGATGTGGTCTAATACACTTACCAATCTCGAATCGGTCCGGCCCGCCCACAACACGGAGCTGGACACGGAGGTGGAAGCAGACGCGCCGTGCCCACGTCTCTCCCTGCTCCAGACACGTCCTCTCCTGCAGATCCACCTGCTTCACACTGAACTCGAAGCTCCACACATGCAATCGCAGCACGGGCGCCGTCCTGCGGGCCACGTCAGACAGGAATCAGGGCGCTTCAGGTGGATGAGTGCAACAGGGGAAGGTGATTACAGCAGGCGGGTCAGTGCAAAAGGTGAATGAATGCAACAGGTGGATGTAACATGTGGGTGAGTGCAACAGGTGGGTGATGTTGCATGCTCTCCCAGATTGCAGCACGTGGCAACAGACTACAGGAGCTTCCTGGAGTTCCTGCTTCCTACAATATAGAGTGCAGAGCTCATGCAGCGCGTCTGCAGAAATGTGCTCAAGCCTAGTCTCCCCTTTAGGTGTATCCCGCAATGTTCAGTAATTACCTGTAACTCAGCCTCTGCAGGGTCGGTTAATAAGTACCAGAGAAAGGGGGACACAGAAAAACAAAGCTTATGAGACGAAATCGAGTTAAAAGAAAAGTAGAATACCTCCTCTCAAAAATGGAACTGAACTGCCGAGCCCTGTGAACTCGCTATAGGCTGCTTTAGGCCTTTAAACTCAAATTCTTCCGTTTCTCAAAATAATTTTTTGAGTGTCGCAAAAGGAATGAAAGAGCATAACTCTAAATCAAAATTAATGAGGCTTACTTAAACTTATCCAATACTTAAAAGTTGCAAAGCAAATAAATGTATGTTAAAACTGCACTCAAGACACTCATGTTAGAACAGTTTATAAGACCTATGTTAAAACTGCACCCAAAACCGATCACTCAATATAAAGACATATTGGACTCAAAATTTCGATGTGAGTGAATATAGAAACGCCTTCTGGAATCCGGGTGAAAATTCTCAACTTTTCATTGGCGAATCTGAAATAGTTATAATACCAAAGCTATTGAGAGAGTAATGAATCCGAAGACAATAATTTTGGAACCGAAGCAGATGAGACATTCAGTGTAAAGTTCTTTTGCGTGCGACAAAATGCAAAGCTAACAAATCGATAAAGTTGTTGAGTGCCAGTGCCTCAGGCTCGCTGGCACGTTATCTAGCAATAAGGCCTGGTCAGGAGGCCTGGTCGAAGACCGAGCCGCAGGGATGCTAAGCCCCGGAAGCACCTCAAGGTAACCTCAAGGTATAAGAACTTAACATTGAAAGATTATGACTATAGAGGACGCGTTGAAAACGAGGTATCCCTATATGGGGTGGCTTATCGCAAGGTGAGGGGTAGTGAGTACACCAAGACCTGCAGAGAAACATTGAGGTCAACCTCGGGAAGATAATAGGACTTACCTGAAGAAGGTAAGAGGACTTACCTGAAGAAGGTAAGAGGACTTACCTGAAGAAGGTAAGAGGACTTACCTGAAGAAGGTAAGAGGACTTACCTGAAGAAGAAGGCAGCGTCGGAGAGCGGCGCCCCTACCAGGAGGTCCGGATACCCGTTGCCATCCCCGTCTCTGCCACCGGCTAGGCTGTATCCGAACCCTCCGCTTAAGGAGAACTTAGGCGTCGGCTGTAACATCTGAATGGCAATAGTAAATGTTTCTCCTGACGATATCATAGCATAATATTGTTCTCCTGACGATATCATAGCATAATACGGTTATCCTGACAATATCATAGCATAATATTGTTCTCCTGACGATATCATAGCATAATACGGTTATCCTGACAATATCCTAATACGGTTCTCCTGATATCATAGCATAATACAGTTCTCCTCGTGATATCATAACATAATACGGTTATCCTGACAATATCATAGCATAATACTGTTCTCCTGACGATATCATAGCATAATACTGTTCTCCTGACGATATCATAGCATAATACTGTTCTCCTGACGATATCATAGCATAATACGGTTATCCTGACAATATCATAGCATAATATTGTTCTCCTGACGATATCATAGCATAATACGGTTATCCTGACAATATCATAGCATAATACTGTTCTCCTGACGATATCATAGCATAATATGGTTATCCTGACAATATCATAATACGGTTCTCCTGATATCATAGCATAATACAGTTCTCGTGATATCATAACATAATATGGTTCTTCTGAGGATATCATAATGCGGTTCTCACGATTTCATAACATAATACAGTTCTCTTGACGATATTATATCACAATATGGTTCTCCTGAGGATAGCATAATAGTATAGAATTCTCCTGACGATATCATACCATAATACGGTTCTCCTGACGTAATCATAGCATAATACAATTCTCCTGACGATATCATACCATAATACGGTTCTCCTGAGGATATCATAACAGTATATGGTTCTCTTGACGATGTCATAGTATAATACGGTGTCAGCCGAACAATTCGCATACTTTACGTCATTATCAAGAAATGTAAAAAACGCAGAATTTATAGATAACACCATCAATGAGGTCCAAGAAATGTGTAAAAACTTCATTCATAATGATGTACTGCCAGGAATCTTAGCGAAGTATCCGAAGTTTGCTTATTGTAGGTGCAGCCTGCACATGACTGTAAAGCTGCCGCCCAGTTGGGTGGGTGTGGAGCACATGACTGTAAAGCTGCCGCCCAGTTGGGTGGGTGTGGAGCACATGACTGTAAAGCTGCCGCCCAGTTGGGTGGGTGTGGAGCACATGACTGTAAAGCTGCCGCTCAGTTGGGTGGGTGTGGAGCACATGACTGTAAAGCTGCCGCTCAGTTGGGTGGGTGTGGAGCACATGACTGTAAAGCTGCCGCTCAGTGGGGTGGGTGTGGAGCACATGACTGTAAAGCTGCCGCCCAGTTGGGTGGGTGTGGAGCACATGACTGTAAAGCTGCCGCCCAGTTGGGTGGGTGTGGAGCAAGACTAGTAACTGTGTGACTGACTCACCATAGATGTAAAGTGCCTTGTATAGTGACTGTTGTGATCATCTTGTGATATAAAAATATTATTAATGTGTATATGTATTTGAGTACATGTATGTATACATATGCATGTGTATATATGTACATGTGTCACTAGGAACTCTTATAAATGAACCGACCAGGATTCAAACCCATGCTACTCAGGATCACCCCTAAACATACACAGTACTGTCACCACCTCACTAATCATAGACTTCCATTGGTATGTCATATTTACAATTATGTAATTAGCTCAGAGTTACAGCCCCGCTCCTGTGCCAGGTAAGTCCATTACGGGCTCACCAAAGCCTGTGCTACTTGGAACTTTTTATTCCGAGTTGCTGAATATAAAATGGCAACTGTAATTAGCTTCACAAGATTGTCACTTGCTTAGCTAAACGAAGCGTGCCTCTGTAAACCTTTCTACCACTGCCCACTGGATGGGTATGGGGTGCATAATAAATAGATTAAATGAAAATCCTTACAATACCATAATATTACACGGTTCTACTGAGAATATTATAATATCTACGTTCTCCTGACGACTGCAGAAAAGTTCTGCCACAAACATATATCAATCTAAAATAATATGTATTTATGTAGCTACATCATACATCTGTCGGAAAACCCGACACCATTTACTAACATTCAATACAATATGCAGATAATATTGCTGCTGTCTTGTAATAACAAATTAACCCTAGAAATAGTGCTTTAATTACTCATAGAAGACGTGGCACAGTGGAATTTTCCTGGGCAGAAAATGGGGGATACCATTGCCATATGACCCTATTAAATTCACCAGCTAAATAAAGGGAAACCTCCTTAGTAGATCAGTTTTTGGACTGTAAACATCATACAAACATTTCCTTTGAATCAACTTAATTATTAATACTAAAATAGAGTAAAACTGGGCTCTCTACCACTTCTTGATGACATCTGGACAATACAGCCAAGGCGTCAGTGGGAGGGAGGCCTCAGAGAGTCCGTCGCCATTATTAAATTTATCAACAAAGTCTCACGTGGACCTCACTTCAAGATCCACAGAAACTTCCTTGAACAGTGTCATTGAGAGTAAAGTGCTTCCATTATCAACACGAACTTCGTCCACAATAAGGAAAGAGTTCTGCTTCCGGTTCCATTACTATCTAGCATATGTAATTCGGTCATTAATATTAGATTTAAGAATGTGAGTTAGCACAAGAATCGAGACACAAAATAGGGTAAGCAATAGTCTCATCTCTTTATTTGAATTAATATACAATATTTCCCCTGATACAGCTGTTATATTAGGTTATTACTATTATTGTGTGCCCTTTGACAGGTGTAATTGAAGAGGAAGAATTAACACTAGTTACCTAGTACACGTGTTGATGCCTGCCTCAACCATGAGGAGTGTTGGTTCACCCGTGTGAACTGGTTGTCTAGGCCAAAATCAGCCATACAAGATAAGGTCCCCCATTTAATTACTAATATATGTAATCTACTACTGAGGTGAATGTCTACTAATTAATAACTATATATAAATATAAACCCCAAGTATGTGTAAGGAAGCAATTTGTTGGAATTTTTCAATCATAAAGTCCACTTTAAACATCATAGTTTGCAATCGAAAAATATAAATTAACATAAAATATAAATTACTATATAAATTGATATAAACTAAATAAATATAAATCTCACAAGTCAGTTTCCCCCAAAACATCTACAGGGATCACGTGGAAAATGGCCTCATTGGGCGTGATAGGTTATTTATAGACTCAACAGCCACATGTTACGTCCACCAACCACAGATCGCTTAATCAGCTAAGTGATGTGGACATCGTGACGTCACAAGCCCTTTTTAACTAAGAGTTTAATCATAGCAAAGTAACACTTAATCATCTTCAAATCACTATTATCTTAATTTTATAAATAATCGGCAAGACAAACTTATTCAAAAACGTTTGGATACGTTTTCCTTTCACCTGACTTTCTGTTTACCACCAATAAATAAGTACCCGGGAGTCTGCCAATTGTAGGGAAGACTCGGTGTCGGTGGCCCCTTCCTCGTAGGGAACCTGCCGCCTGTGGAAACCATGCGAGGGAGCCAACTGACCACTGGTGTCTTGGCAACACTGTGTCTCGTTATTGCCAGGGAGAAGGAGCAAATTTTATTAACTTTTTGGGTTTTTTGCCTCATTTCTCTTCCCCCGTTTTGATGGTGCTGTGTCAGAGGGTTCTCGATTTGGGTGCGGTAGCGATCTCTTCTTGCTGCTAGACATACATAGTGAGAGGGAAGTACTGCTGCACATGTATACCGGAGTAATGGAGCAGCCAGCCTTTGCCTGTTTTTACTATTGGTGGTTTTACAGGAGAGGGAGGAATGCCATGATGGTGGTTCATTTTTAGGGTCAATTTCGAGCATGAGCCGGTCGAAGCCTGATGCGTAAACATGCTAACTGCTGTGGGGTGCATCGTCTGCTAGTTATTCTGAGCACTCTAAGGAACCTCAATAAGCCTAACAGGCTTCTGGTCCCTCAGTAGCATACCATTATGCCTTGTATGCAGCACATCCTCTTAAGGTTTCCCAACGTCAAGAAAACGGTCAATTTAAAGTGTCCTCTCCTAACCTACCAGAGAACCCAAAACAGAAAATGAGACAGTGTATCACTTTTGTGAGCTGCTTCCATTTTCTAGTACAACAAGTTTTGGCCTTACGTAACGCATACAATCGAAATACGACGTTCTTTGTAGGAAGACAGGTTGTTGTATGACCATGTTTCCTAAGTTCATTATCCCGTATTATACTTTCCAAAGAATTCCTCATTCTTCCAAATTCTTCTTCCTGATATGCACATATGTTTTCTTCATTGCATTCCTCCCTCACTCTAACTTGTGATCAAGTATATTGACCAAGGCCAAATAAGATGAAGAGATCCTACAGTGTCACACAAGCTTATATTATCAATATAGTGTTTATTTTAGGGAAGAACCGAGTCTAAGCAAACTAGTCAAGATGTTCCTTGACTCCCAGTCTCTCTTTCCTTGGTTAAAGTCCCTCATAGTTAGTAGTTGGTAGATTAAGTGAGCTGTTCTTGATGTTCTATATGTACCTGTTAAGCTCGTAGATCTGTTTCTCTAATTGTCTTCCTGACTGACCCTTACACGAGTCTGAAGACGTACCTGAGATGGCGTGGCCCTGATGCCTGTGTTGGACCCTAGGAAGATGAAGACGGCGCCTCCTCCAGAGTGCTGTGGGGCGCCCACGGCCAAGTCTGCAGGCAGTGAACAGGGCAGAATTAGTGGAAGTGGGTGGGTTAGTGAGAGATAGAATCTGTTAAGGTTGGTCGGTTTAAAATTTAAGGGTCGGACTGTTAGGATACGTGAGTCAGAAGAGAGCAAGGTGTGTTCCAGGTAGAAATCATAAGTGTTAGGGAATGTTAGCTTGAGGAAACATGCTAATGAGGGAACAGAAGATGGAAACAGGAAAGAAGAAGAGAGCAATTAAACATGGAGAGAAAGGAGGAGAGACAGAGAGAGAGAGAGAGAGAGAGAGAGAGAGAGAGAGAGAGAGAGAGAGAGAGAGAGAGAGAGAGAGAGAGAGAGAGAGAGAGAGAGAGAGAGAGAGAGAGAGAGAGAGACAGAGAGAAAGACAGAGAGACAGAGAGAGAGAGAGAGAGAGACAGAGAGAGAGAGAGAGAGAGAGAGAGAGAGAGAGAGAGAGAGAGAGAGAGAGAGAGAGAGAGAGAGAGAGAGAGAGAGAGAGAGAGAGAGAGAGAGAGAGAGAGAGAGAGAGAGAGAGAGAGAGAGAGAGAGAGAGAGAGAGAGAGAGAGAAAGAAAGATAGACTGTATTTTATCTTATAATATCACCAGTTAACTTCCCTTCATACATTTTTTTTTTTTGGGGGGGGGTTTATAATTCAGTTTATCACACCGTAATGAAACAGTTGATATAAATTTATGTACTAAACTATAATTAAATAGTTAGTAGTACTGCTACAGATGTGTTGGTTATTATTTAAAATGGTCTCAGCTGATTTGGTAGTGTTGGCTGGTCATCCAACATCAAATATCCTCAGACACATGTACTCCGTACTGGATACCCGCCAAACACACACCGAAACTACGACGTTGGTACAACGTTCGAACAAGTTTTAACACCTCCTAACCAGTTATAACAACCAATATAGCAAGTTGTAACAACGTTCTAATACGTCATAAACACGTTAAGCCAAGATGTAACAACTTTATTACAAGTTGTAACAAGCGGAAAATAGAGACAGTTTCGGTTTGTGTTTCCAGGGTGTGTATTAATGATGGTCCTGTGATGTACCAGCTGAACTGATGTTTCATGCAGTCACAAGTTACTTATCAACAAGTTACTTATCAACAAGTTACTTGTCAACAAGTTACTTGTCAACAAGTTACTTGTCAACAAGTTACTTGTCAACAAGTTACTTGTCAACAAGTTACTTGTCAACAAGTTACTTATCAACAAGTTACTTGTCAACAAGTTACTTGTCAACAAGTTACTTGTCAACAAGTTACTTGTCAACAAGTTACTTGTCAACAAGTTACTTGTCAACAAGTTACTTGTCAACAAGTTACTTGTCAACAAGTTACTTGTCAACAAGTTACTTATCAACAAGAGTGTTAGTCAGGGTGTTAGTCAGGTAATTAATGGATTACGAGAGAAAAGGGAGTGTGTGTGGCGTCTGGTTACTTATTGGTGGTGTTATTGGTGGTGACGTCTCGTGGTGTTTTGATGCGCTCTGGCGCAAGGCACATGCCTGTGGTGGTAATGGTGTTGGGGGACGCCGTGTGTGTTGTGTTGAGGGCGTTGGTGACGCCGGGTGTTGTGTTGAGGGCGTTGGTGACGCCGGGTGTTGAGGGCGTTGGGGACGCCGGGTGTTGTGTTGATGGCGTTGGGGACGCCGGGTGTTGTGTTGATGGCGTTGGGGACGCCGGGTGTTGTGTTGAGGGCGTTGGTGACGCCGGGTGTTGAGGGCGTTGGGGACGCCGTGTGTTGTGTTGATGGCGTTGGGGACGCCGTGTGTTGTGTTGAGGGCGTTGGGGACGCCGTGTGTTGTGTTGATGGCGTTGGGGACGCCGGGTGTTGTGTTGAGGGCGTTGGGGACGCCATTGGGTGGTGTAGTGTAGTGGCGTTTGGACGCCTGGTATCGAGTGTGGTGTTGTAGAGTATATGGTGGCGCAGGGGCGCCAGGTAGTGGTCGGTAAGGTGAGTATTGGCGTAGCAAGGTCGGTGCGTTAGGACGCAGGAAGTGGTTGTGGGGATGTGTGGCGTTATAATGAGGTCATCAGTGGTTGGGATGACCAGAGGTGATGGTGTGTCGGAAGTGGGTAAGTCTTATGGATAAGATGAAATGTAGATAATTGCCGAGTTGGTGGCTGCAGTAGGCGAGCCAAGTCGATACATCTGGCAAGACTCATAAAAGACTAATAAAAAATCATTATTTTCATTAAAATTTTCATTAATTAAGTCGGAGTGGGTAAGTCTTATGGATAAGATTATAAGGTAGAATTTCAAATTTCAGGTGTTGATGGTTGCAGTGGGCGAGCCAAGTAGATATACTAATTTCTCATTAATTAAGTTGTTACAGGAATCTCGCTAGAAGCGAGCCAGTGGCAGTATGATGCTTTAGTGACATTAGTTGTGAAATTATTTTAATGAGGTATTTATTGTGATAATGTATGTGTATGTATATACTGTATATTACCTCATCGGCACCATTACTGAGTGTTAGGCTTGAGAAGGTCCCCCGGGATCATGTCACAGAGCTTCAGGTAGAGTAGAAGGGAAGCTATGAGGCTACACTCAGTTATTCTAGAAAAAAAGGGGGGTGGAAGTGAAGCCAACGTGACGTTATAGGCGAAATTCGCCCCCTGACATCAAAGCAGGGATAAGGGCCAGCTGCAATGGTTTTGCAGCTGCGCTCAGGCTATATATGGGGAGAGAGTAAGGAGCCGAGGGGGTTATGTAATAATGGGATCGAGCCAGGGGGCTCCGAGGGAATATTTTGCAGGTACAGCGGTCGGGAAGGTGTGAATACAGGTGGACACACTCTGGGCGGATGGGCCTAGACCAAAGAGCTGTGAGGGATCTACAGCGTTCTGGGATTGGTGCCCTGGAACGAGACGTCAGCACAGACCCAAGGGAACATGACCCTGGGGTAGGAATCTCCGTTGCTCTGGAGGCCAGGATCACGGTAGCTCAGAGCAACGATGGGACATTGACAACATTCACCAGGCTGGACAGCCTGGGTTTTGTCTGGGTCATGGAGGATCTATGACCTAGCAACCATGGGACACGAAGACAAGAGAAGTGATGCTGCCAATTGTGGAGGAGGCCAGTGAAACATTGTGTGATCATTGTAAGCCCTTATGTTAACAGTACAGGGCAAGATGTTAAATTATTAACTTGTTACTAAGGATGAAGAACCTTAGATATATGTGTTGTGTATATATTAATGACTAGTGTCATTTCTGTTTAAGTGCCAGCATTCTGGTCCATGTAATTTTATGGTTATGTTTGTATGTAATTATATGTCAGCAGTTTAGGTATATGTGCATTGTTGGAGATGGGAAAAATTATTACAGACTATTTTACCTGTGCTATGATGTGAATATAATGTATATGTTGGAGAAGTGTTGTGAGTCATGTCGGGGAAAATTTTAATTTATTTCATCGTGTGTATGATGAACTTTTTGGATGATTTTGTAGTTGTACACATATGGTGGGTGCATCCTCCAGGTCCTTGCACTAATGGAACCATTGCAATGATGCATATGGGGACATATGCGTGTTTAAGGAGGGGAGTGGTGTTGTAATCCACAAGTTAGTAGGAATTATTAGCTAGAGGATCATTACTACAACACTTAACGAATGATGATTGGAAGTACATGTAAGTAGACAGACTATGGATCACATATCTAAGAAAGGTCAATGGATTAAGACCGAAGCTGTTTAGTGAAATTAATAATTCCGGGAAAGAGGAATTATTCTTCGTCAGGCTTCTAGGAACAAGGTTACCGCTCTAGGGATAAGGTTAATCGGATTATACCTTCCTCAAGAGGCGTGGTGAAATGATTGAGGCCATGGTTGGCTGGAGGCAGTCTGATTGTGGGAGTGGAACTGGCAAGTCCTCCGAGGTCTCCGTTTGTGGCAGCAGCGAAGTGTAGCAGACAGCTATGCGAGAACCTGTTGTGATCTTAGTGACCAAGTTAAGTCTGCAGTATGTGAGTATTGAATGTAAGACTAACCGGGTGTGGAGCGTTGTAGTAATCATTCCGTATTAGGGACTTAGGCGGAAGTTACGAGTGTGTGTGGTGATCGCGGAGGTCAAGTGGTCTATGGGTATTGGAAGTGTATTGACCTAATAGAGTATGTTAATATAGTATTATTTGTCAGAGTCTATTCTTGGTAATTAAATGACAAAACACGACGGCCTTTAAATACCTTCCATGTGTTCACTCATTGTGTTGCAGTACAAACCTAGTGGTACGCCTCAAGGGTCTGGTGTGTGTAGGAGTACACGGTGGTAGTAACGGTTGCTGAGGCAAGGTGTTATGTGTTGTGTAATCGCTGTGTTCGGAATGAACCGGGGTTCAGCGTCACGACAAACAAGTTACTTGTCAACAAGTTACTTGTCAACAAGTTACTTGTCAACAAGTTACTTGTCAACAAGTTACTTGTCAACAAGTTACTTGTCAACAAGTTACTTATCAACAAGTTACTTGTCAACAAGTTACTTATCAACAAGTTACTTATCAACAAGTTACTTGTCAACAAGTTACTTGTCAACAAGTTCTTGTCAACAAGTTACTTATCAACGTTACTTATCAACAAGTTACTTATCAACAAGTTACTTATCAACAAGTTACTTGTCAACAAGTTACTTGTCAACAAGTTACTTGTCAACAAGTTACTTATCAACAAGTTACTTGTCAACAAGTTACTTATCAAGAAGTTACTTGTCAACAAGTTACTTGTCAACAAGTTACTTGTCAACAAGTTACTTGTCAACAAGTTACTTATCAACGTTACTTATCAACAAGTTACTTATCAACAAGTTACTTGTCAACAAGTTACTTGTCAACAAGTTACTTGTCAACAAGTTACTTATCAACAAGTTACTTGTCAACAAGTTACTTGTCAACAAGTTACTTGTCAACAAGTTACTTATCAACAAGTTACTTGTCAACAAGTTACTTATCAACAAGTTACTTATCAACAAGTTACTTATCAAGAAGTTACTTGTCAACAAGTTACTTATCAAGAAGTTACTTGTCAACAAGTTACTTATCAAGAAGTTACTTGTCAACAAGTTACTTGTCAACAAGTTACTTGTCAACAAGTTACTTGTCAACAAGTTACTTGTCAACAAGTTACTTGTCAACAAGTTACTTATCAACAAGTTACTTGTCAACAAGTTACTTGTCAACAAGTTACTTGTCAACAAGTTACTTGTCAACAAGTTACTTGTCAACAAGTTACTTGTCAACAAGTTACTTGTCAACAAGTTACTTGTCAACAAGTTACTTATCAACAAGTTATACCATAAAAGTTGACAATAACATGTGAAGCACAGGTGTTACACATGAAATTTAGGTAATTAATAACAAATAAACCTTACCCTTTCGGGTGGTGCTTTCCTGCATTGTAGTGATTTAATCCTAGATACACAATAGTGGCCCAGCTCAAGGAAACAACCATAGTTTTCCCTAACACTTCTCAACCAGAAAATAAACTGCCCTCAATCAGTTTACTCACATTCTCTGGATCAGAGGATGAAAGTTGAGACAACTTCTGGAATAAATTTGTTGACTCTATGGACTCAAAACTCACAATTCCTAAAACTACCAAATCCACATACCTACAGGCTCAGCTTAAAGGTGAAGCTGAAAAGGTGGTACCAAATTTGACCCTAAATAGTCAGGGTTATGATCTCTCAGTTCAGCTCCTTAAAGATAATTATGCTAACAAAGAGAGAGCTGTTACACACTTAGTCCACAGATTGTTGGACTTACCCCCCAACTAATTCAAACACTGATTATTTCGAACACGGGGGCAAGGAATGGTGCCCAAAAACTTAGGCTGGATGGTAGAAAGACGGTCTCGGTCTTTATGCAAGTCAGCGTTCAATCACGACTGTTCAAGTGGTCGACTGTTCACTTTCACCCAGGACACTCAATAGATCTGCAGTATTCATCAATCCTGGTGAGTCCACTATCTTCAAGTACACATCGTCCACGATCAATGGTTATCAGCCGCGACAGAGCTTGCCTCCCACAACACAGAAAATTACTCCAGCAAGTCCCAGGAACACATCACGACTTACGTTAGTCACTATTTGTTGCCAAGACTTGACAGAACTAAGCAAAAATGCAAAGTTCGTCTTTTCTAATCTATATAAATAAAAATGTAAATGTTCGTTTGTTCAAAATCGCTAATCTCCGAAAGTTCTTCACCGATTGCTTTGAAATTTTCAAACAACGTTCCATTCGCATCCGGCCAGGTTTTTATATGCATACTATATAGATGTCACGTCTGTGACGGTAAAAAAAAAAAAAACATGCTTTTTCTGAAAAACTGTGTTTTTCATAAAAAGCATGTTTTTTTTTTCTAAAAAAAAAAACACGTTTTAAAAAAAGCATGTGAAAAGCATAAAAAGCATGTTTTTTTTCTGAAAAACTGTGTTTTTCATGTGAGGGAAATCTTCAAAACCTCTTTACCGATTGCTTTGAAATTTTGACACAACATTGCATTCGAAAAGGCGCGTCTTTTTATATATCTACTATATAGATGCCACACCTGTGACAGGAAAAACATGCTTTTTTTTGAAAAACAACACCATCTGTTGCACATAATAGCAACATGCATGCTATACTAAATATGTCACGAATTCCATTTCAATGTTTCTGATTGCATTGATAAATTGAAATTTTCATAGATATTGCTTTACTTTCATTTTGATTTAATTATTTTGTGTGAATTGCGTTGGAATTGAACTGTGTTGTTTACCATACCGTTCATTTCATGAGTATAGCTTATTTTTTATTTTTTCATATTTTCATTTAATTTTTTAACTGTTTTTCTTATATTTCAGTGATGGGAACATCAGAGCACTCGATGTTGCCAATTTTCTAATAGGAACATCAGACGATTTGGGAAGGCATTGGACGAGGGAGTGGGGGATGGGATGGTAGGAAGGGATGGAAGTGAGAGATGGTGGGGAGGACGAGGGGACAAGGGAGGGGGTAATGGTAGGGAAGGACGAGGGGACGGGGGAGTTTGGGATGGAGGGGATGGGGGAATGGAGAATGGTGGGGAGGACAAAGGGACAGGGAGTGAGGCATGGTGGGAAGGAAGAGGGGATGGTTGAGTGGGGAATGGTGGGGAGGACGAGGGGATGGTGGAGTGGGGAATGTTGGGGAGGACGAGGAGACGGGTGAGGGGGAAACGGTTGGGAGCACTTGGGGACCGGGAAGGTTACTGTGGCTCAGCAACGCACATGTGTTGCTGAGCCACAGCAACGAGTGGCCAGGTACTGCTAGTAGTACATAATTTTTGGTCATTAATTTGTATCTAGAATTAAATACTATGAATCTAGGAACTAGATTCTAGTCCCAGCAAGGTTTGTTTTCAGTTTGTTAAAACTTTTGGTTTGTTTTTAGCTCTATTTTTTCAGCCTCTGTAAAGTGAATAGTACAAAATTCTACTATCAAATTGCTGCATTCATCAATCTTTGTACTATAGTACACATAGTTACAAAAACTACTATCTAAACAGGAGGATGGGTTGATATACAACGTCAAAGGGCCAAAGTGTGTGCGTTGGGTGGGGCCATGGAGGGTCGTAGGACGGACCACAGAGGGTCGTGAGTGGGGCCACAGAACGTCGTGGGTGGGGCCACAGAGGGTCGTAGTGGGGGCCACAGAGAGTCAATGGCGGGGCCATGGAGGGTCGTGGTCGGGGCCATGGAGGGTCGTGGTCGGGGCCATGGAGGGTCGTGGTCGGGGCCACGGAGAGTCGTGGTGACTGTTAGTGGAGGTAGCCTTCACTCTGACTGTTCAGACATGGCGACCCTACAGGTGAGGCACAGCCAGAAGGTTACTGCAAAGGGCAAAGTCTGAAGTCGACAGCAGAAGGCTATTCCAGAAAGCTACAGAAGATTACATCAGAGAGCTGCAACAGACGCAGACGAACCTTTGTAGCCGTCGTTGTTAATATCTCCAAGGCAGGCGAGGCTGTTTCCGAACCAGGCGAAGTCCTCTGTCCCTTCCAGAGTGTGTGTGACGCCATGCTGGGAGGGACGAAAGGAAAGAGAGATGGAGGGAGAGAGAGGAAAAAGAGGACACATGGAATTAAGCACAACAGCATTATTACAATTGCTAATTTTCTTGTGGATCTTTCCATTCTAAGTCAAATCCCTTCTACCATCTAAGTCTGGAGGTGGAGACACACCAGATCACTTAGTCGTTCCATTTCATTACAACGTTCCCTCAACAGGGTGACCTCTTCAGATACATACACGCATGCTACAGAAAACACGAGCATTGTAAATATACATGCAAGGACATAAATATACATGCAAGGACATAAATATACATGCAAGGACATAAATATACATGCAAGGACATAAATATACATGCAAGGACATAAATATACATGCAAGGACATAAATATACATGCAAGGACATAAATATACATGCAAGGACATAAATATACATGCAAGGACATAAATATACATGCAAGGACATAAATATACATGTGAGGGTTCACTTCGCCCCCATCATACTCCTGTTTAGAAATATGTAATCTTTAATTGTAGAGAGTGAAGAACTGTGTGGTCAGGAGATAGCTGTTTAACATCAAGTGATAGTGATCCAACACGACAGGTATCTACCATCTGGGTCAAAGGAGAACTATTAAACAGCTGGATGTTCAATGCTAATGCATTTGGGAGGTTAATTTCGGCAGTCTCCGTGATGTAGTGGTTAAGATGCTCACCTGGCATTTCGCGAGAGCTTTGCCCTGGGTTCGTATCCTGGCCGGGGTTGGATTTACTGGGCGCAAATCCTTAACTGTAGCCTCCGTTTAACTCAACAGTAAAATGGGTACCTGTTTGTAAAACGATTTTTCGAGGGGTCGTATTCCAGTGAACATAGGATTAAGGACTTGCCTGAAACGCTACGCGTACTAGTTGCTGTACAAGAATGTAAGAACTCTTGTATATACAAATAAGTAAATAAATAAATAAAAAATTATTTGGACAAACTCGTGAATATAGATGGCTTCCGGTGTGCGAAACCTCCTTCGTTCGGTGGTGTGTGCGGTGATTATAATAATAATAATAATAATAATAATAATAATAATAATAATAATAATAATAATAATAATAATAATAATAATAATAATAATAATAATAATAATAATAATAATAATAATAATAATAATAATAATAATAATAATAATAATAATAATAATAATAATAATAATAATAATAATAATAATAATAATAATAATAATAATAATAATAATAATAATCTACGTAATTACAAATGTAAATGTTTGTTCAATATCGCTAATCTCCGAAAGTTCTTCACCAATTGCTCTGAAATTTTGACACAACTTTCCATTCGCACACGAGCGTGTTTGTATATACACACTATAGATGTCACGGGTATAAACATGTTTTTTGAAAAACAGCTCCATCTGTTGAACGTAAGAGTAACACACGCTGTAATCTCTGAAAGTTCTTCACTGATTGCTTTGAAACTTTGACTCAACGGTCCATTCAAATACATACATGTTTTATATATATATATATATGCTATATAGACGCCACACCTGTGACAGGTAAAAACATGCTTTTTTGAAAAATAGTGCCATTTGTTGCACATAAAAGCAACACACGCTATACTAAATATGTTACGATTCCATTTCAATGTTTTTGACAGCATTGATAAATTTAATTTTCATAGATTTCGACTTTTTTTTATTTTGATTTAATTATTTTGTGTGACATTGCGTTGGAATTGAGCTGTGTTGTTTACCATACCGTTCATTTCGTGAGTACAGTTTTTCTTTTCATTGTTTTTATATCGTTTTTTAACTCTTCTTATTTTTCAGTGATAAGAACATCAGATCATTTGATGCTCCCATTTTTCCGATGGGAACATCAGATCATTTGGGAACGCATTGGACGAGGGAGTGGTGTGGACGAGGGGACGGGAGCAGGGGATGGTGGGGAAGATGGGGAGAAGGGGGAGAGGGAAATGGTGGGAAGGAAGAGGGGCCGGGGGAGTGGGGATGGTGGGGACGAGGGGATGGGAGAGTGGAGAATGGTGGGGAGGGTGAGGGGGGGGGGAATGATGGGGGAGGATGAGGGGGATGGTGGAGTGGAGGGATGATTGGGCAGGACGAGGGGATGGAGGAGTGGGGAATGAGAGGAATGAGGGGAATGACGAGGGGATGGGGGAATGGTGGGGGAGTGGGGATTGGTTGGAAGGACGAGGGGACGGAGGAGGGGAGGGGAATGGTGGGGAGGACAGGGAAGGGTTGCTGTGGCTCAGCAACGCATGGCCAGGCACAGCAAGTAATAATAATAATTATTTACAAGTAGGTACAATGGGTTTGTGAGATTACATAATATTGGTATTTTTACATTCTTGCAAAGCCACTAAAAGGCTCAGTGTTTCGGGCAGATTGTGATGCCTTTTACAATTGCATGATAACTCAGGATGGTGTTGCGGTGTTGAATAATTCCTTCGTCTTGCAAATGAAGTGTGAGACGTCTACTGTGGGTGTTCATAGCATGTCCAATATGGCATCTGATGGAAGAGAGCACAGGCTCCAGAATTACATTTATATCCATATACTTCATAACTACAATACATTTTGTCAGAGGAAATATAAATGTTGTTTATCATAATGAGGAAAGCTGTACAAGCATTGTTATAGTAAGTGACAGCACGAATTCGAGTGTTTTCACTGCAAGGTTTACAATATCAGTTATATCCCTCCAGAATTTAAAGTCCGGGTCTGTAGATGGCAGAAGGTATTTACTTTGAAAGAAAAATTTCCATAAGAATGCTGTTGTGTTCAATTCCATGTATATTAAAGGAAACCTGTTCTCAAAATATACGCAGAACGCAGTACTCGGCCTACTATGCAAGGCCCAATTTGCCTAATAAGCCAAGTTTCCTGAATTTATATATTTTTCTATTTTTTTTTTCTTATGAAATGATAAAGCTATCCATTTCATGATGTATGAGTTCATTTTTTTAATTTGTGTTAAAACTAACGTAGATATATGACTGAACCTAACCATCCCTACCTAACCTAACCTATGTTAAGCTAACCTAAACTAACATAACTAAGTCAATAATTTATGTTCTTAATATAATATAATAATAATAATAAAAGAAATAAACAAATTTGAAAGAATTGGTTGAAAATAAAGCAAATCAAATCGGGCCTTGCATAGTAGGCCAAGAAGTGCGTTCTGGCTACTAGGTACGACACATATATATATATATATATATATCACAAAATGCTATACTAATAAAATCATATAAAATTTCTAAAGATATAACATTATTAGATTTTACAAATTTTAAATATTATTCAAACACACTGATATCCCAACAAAATGTAAGAAGTGAACAAGAAGAGCGAGCAAGTGTCATCAAAGATAACCTTAGGTACAATAACAAGGACTTTGCCGGTCTCCTTATATCCTGAGGAGAGAGGCACCCGGCCTAGAGGCGCCCCCACCACCACCTCGTCCTCCCCGTCTCCGTCCAGGTCACACGCCTCCAGGGCCGCTCCCAGCATCTCCCCGACGCCCCCTGCTCCCTCCTCCAGCAGCTCCCCGACGCCCCCTGCTCCCTCCTCCAGCAGCTCCCCGACGCCTCCTGCTCCCTCCTCCAGCAGCTCCCCGACGCCCCCTGCTCCCTCCTCCAGCAGCTCCCCGACGCCTCCTGCTCCCTCCTCCAGCAGCTCGCCGACGCCTCCTGCTCCCTCCCTCCTGCCCAGCGTCGTCAGCTCCACCACCTGCAGGAAGCGACAATTTGTGCACACCTAAATAATTTTAGAATTGATATGTGCACACTTAAGTAATTTGATAATGTGCACAAAAGTTACTGGATTTGGCAGTAAAAGGAGATTATAGATTCTAAGATCTGATCGGGAGTTTCATAACACTTCCCCATTGTTTTCTGTTGTCAGGGACAGGAAGTCCATTTGATCTTTTACAATTTGCAGACCATTGCATGCTTTATTAATTACTTTTGCTTATTATTTAAAATATCCAGTAGAAGTAGATATGCTAATTTCACCATGAACATTAATTAGTTTAGTTCTTCTATGCAGATAATTATATGTATGCAAATTATCTAGTAGGTTTTAATCTTGTTGAATTTAGATGAAGTATAGGAATGCTTAAGTTAACCCTTATTTATCATATTTTGTTTACTGAAAGGTCAATATTAATATGAATAACAAGAACAAACTATGTTGTAGGCGTATGTACAAATGTATATGGAAATTTGACTCTTTTAATTTATACATCCTGTTTTGAGGGAGTTGAAGTTTCTTTGATTTGCATATATTAGTTGATACACTACCAATACACACAATTAACATTCCTTAAGAGTTATATATTCATTCACATGTACGAAGAGAACTTTTGTATGCTAGACAGTAACCATTGAACGAATACTCAGACATGAGCTGTTGCAACACTGGCAAAGTTACAACAGTAACTGTTAATGACGTTTGTATGTTATGGATTGCAACCAAATGCTACTTTGCCTGTCACGTTTTTCGAGGGTAGAAATATATGCGATACGTGTAGATGTTAGGTGGTTATTCAGTAATGACAAATGATACGTTTGTTACCTATGACAGTGACGGCAGAACAGTCCATCAGACGTACAGTTTTCAACACCTGAGGGACGCTGACTGCCTCGCAAAGTTCTCAAAGTTGCTTCATAGTGTAGCGTGGTGTAGCTCACGGGCGAGTAGACTGTATCGACTCTTAACTGGCTGAGTGGCTCTCACAGTCTCAGGTATTCACAGAGTATAATCTAAACTTGTCTCCACGTGCATATATATATATATATATATTACATATATACTTACTTAATTGTGCTTGCGGGGGTTGAGCTCTGGCTCTTTAGTCCCCACCTCTCAACTGTCAATCAACTAATGTATAGATTCCTGAGCCTACCAGGCTCTATCATATCTACACTTGAAGCTGTGTATGGAGTCAGCCTCCACCACATCACTGTCTAATGCATTCCATTTGTCTACTACTCTGACACAGAAAAAAAAATTCTAACGTCTCTATGGCTCATTTGGGCAGTCAATTTCCACCTGTGTTCCCTAGTGCGTGTGCCCATGGTGGTGAATACTCTGTCTTTATCTACCCTATCAATTCCTCTGAGAATCTTGTATGTGGTGATCATGTCCCCTCTAACTCTTCTGTCTCCCAGTGATGTGAGGTTTAATTCCCGTAGTCTCTCCTCGTAGCTCATACCCCTCAGTTCGGGTACTAGTCTGGTGGCAAATCTTTGAACCTTTTCCAGTTTAGTCTTATGCTTGACTTGATATGGACTCCATGCTGGAGCCTCATACTTCAGGATTTGTCTGACATATGTGGTATACAAAGTTCTGAAAGATTCCTTACACAAGTTTCTAAAGGCCGTTCTTATGTTAGCCAACCTGGCATATGCCGCTGATGTTATCCTCTTGATATGGGCTTCAGGGGACAGGTCTGGCGTGATATCAACCCCCCCCCCCCAGGTCTTTCATCTGGTCTCCTGCTCCCTACACCTATCTTCATTACATTGCATTTGCTTGGGTTAAACTCTAACAACCATTTGTTCGACCATTCTTGCAGCTTGTCAAGGTCTTCTTGAAGCCTCAAGCTGTTCTCCTCTGTCTTAATCCTTCTCATAATTTTGGCGTCGTCAGCAAACCTTGAGAGGAATGAGTCTGTACCCTCTGGGAGATTATTTACGTATATCAGAATCAGGATAGGTCCGAGTACAGAGCCCTGTGGGACTCCACTGTTGACTTCACGCCAATCTGAGGTCTCACCCCTCACTGTAACTCTGCTTCCTATTGCTTAGGTACTCCCTTATCTACTGGAGCGCCCTACCAGTTACTCCTGCCTGTTTCTCCAGCTTATGCATCAGCCTTTTATGGGGAACTGTGTCAAAGGCTTTCCGACAGAAAAAAATGCAGTCCGCCCATCCTTTTGTTTCTTGCTTAATCTTTGTCACCTGATCGTAGAATTCTATTAAGCCTGTAAGGCAAGATTTCCCCTCCCTGAACCCATGTTGATGGGTTGTCAGGAAGTCACTTCTCTCCAGATGTGTTACTAGTTTTTTCTCACGATCTTCTCCATCACCTTGCATGGTATACAATTTAAGGACACTGGCCTATAGGTCAGCGCCTCTTTTCTGTCATCATTTTTGCATATTGGGACTACATTAGCCGTCTTCCATATTTCTGGTAGGTCTCCCGTTTCCAGTGATCTACTATACACTATGGAGAGTGGCAAGCAAAGCGCTCCTTTAAACTCTTTCAATACCCATGGTGAGATTCCATTCGGGCCAACAGCCTTTCTCACGTTCAGCTCCAACAGGTACCTCTTGACCTTATCTCTTGTAATTTCGGACCCTTCCAAGGTCGCCTGGTTTACTGCCAGCTCTCCTAGCGCAGTGACCTCTCCTTGTTCTATTGTGAAGACCTCCTGGAACCTCTTGTTGAGTTCTTCACACACCTCTTTGTCATTCTCTGTGTACCTGTCCTCACCAGTTCTAAGTTTCATCACCTGTTCCTTCACTGTTGTTTTCCTCCTGATGTGACTGTGTAGTAGCTTTGGTTCGGTCTTGGCTTTATTAGCTATTTCATTTTCATACCTTTTCTCAGTTTATCTTCTGTGTGTGTGTGTGTGTGTGTGTGTGTGTGTGTGTGTGTGTGTGTGCGTGCGTGTGTGTGTGTGTGTGTGTGTGTGTGTGTGTGTGTGTGTGTGTGTGTGTGTGTGTGTGTGTGTGTGTGTGTGTGTGTGTGTGTGTGTGTGTGTGTGTGTGTGTGTGTGTGTTTATAGATTGTAGTTAATTATTGCTGTTTCAAGTAAAACCATGTGTTGTTACTGGTTTATTAGTTATTATCAAATTCAGGCACCGTTTGAAGAGATGGGTTGTTCTTCCTGTCACTTGTACCCAGATGCAGTTGGGACTTGCTTAACTTTCTCAAGTGAACAGCTCCTCAAACAAGAAGTTTAACATCTGTCAACCCTTAAAATCTTATGTTATCTTGCGGGTGCAAAATGAGGGAATCTTTTAAGAACAGTATCAATATTTGATAAATAGTATTTTCCTAACTCAAACAATGTGGGGTTTATTATTCTACATATATTTCTAATGTTTCTCAGGTGTTCACATTCTCTCAGGTAGTGGTCAAGGCGGTGTCCGTCACTCTCATCACAGATTCTGCAACTCCGCTGTTCAACTGTTGTTTCTATTCCGAATCTCCATGGATATTTGTATCCAAGACAGATTCTCGCTATTACTGAATCTCTCCCTCGGTCACCACCTCCTCGTCCATAATGATTGGGATTGTCAGCTGCAACCATGTTTTACCATCGTACAGATTCGCTGATTTGTGCTTCTATTCTCTTTTCCTCAGTTATCTTGTCACGGTGATGTTGCCTGACAATACCTCTATTTTGTAGAAGAGTCTTGGGTATGAAGTATTCAATATGGTCTCCTTCAGCGCCTTCAGCACCCAGCACATCTGCTCGTTCATTTCCATATATTCCAACATGGGAGGGGATCCACAGAAACTTGATGAGTCTTTCCTGGAAGGTTAGTACCCTCATAGCTCTCTTAATTTCAGCGACTATCGGAAGATTTTCTGCCCGATTTTTACATAGGCTTTGTAACGCTGCTATTGAATCAGTGCAGATCACTGCGCCATTAGTGTTCCGTTCAAGGAATCTTAACGCCATGACAGTGGCAGTTAGCTCTGCTTGCGTTGAAGAGGCATAGTTCTCAATATTACAGTGTATGCTGCACCAGCCCTGCCATTGGCAGGATTAGATGACCTGTCAGTGTAGATTTGATCTAATTCATCTCCGGTTCCTTTGTAAATTTCCCCGAGATACTTGTGCCTCATTTCTTGTGGTATCATGTTGGACTTTTTCGTTGCCATTTCATTGATGATAATCCTGCACGAGTCATCCTCCCAGGGAGGTAACCTCTCTACAGGCATGAGCTCACAGGCTTGCTCAAGCAGGTGATGTTTTTCAAGGTAGCAGACTGATCTGTGATGCCATTTTTTGCTTCTCCTGTTTCCTTCTGTAAGTAACACAGAACTCAGTTTTTTTCTTGGCAATATCATTGCAATGGGGATCTCTGGCTATCCTAATTGTAAGCTTAGCATTCAGTTCCTTAATTCTGCTTTTAACACTGGGGAGGGACAACTCCTCTCGTAGATTAGACGCTTTGGCAGTTCTTGGGACTCCAAGAATGATTGTCATGGCTTCATTTTGTATGCTTTCGAGCCTTTTCATATCGCTTTGGGAGTAGGCGCATAGAACTGGTGCGGCATAGTCTATGAGCACACATAGGCTGAGTACATCATTTTAAGCACGGCAATAGTCCATTGTCCATCCCAGGTCATAGCTGTCAGTGCCCTGAGTCGACTTTTGCATATTCTTATGAGTTGGTTGAGCTCCTCTTTCTTCCCCTTGTTAGAGCCGACAGTGACGCCAAGGTACCGATAGTGGTCAACCCATTCAAGTGTTACACCATTAATTTGTAGTTCTTCATTTGCCCCCGCTTGTGATGGGAGTATGCTTTTGTCTGGTTTGTGGAGAGAGAAACCGAGCTCAATACATTTCCTTCCGAGGAGTTTAATAGACTGTTTAATGTTTCCCAAGATGGGAGCTTGTATAAGGACATCATCTGCATACCCCACTTGATGCGTCCCTTCCAGAAAATCAATATTTGCAATAGCGTTCATTGCAAACACGTTCATTGTTCATTTCATTACACTATTCAAGTACATTGAATAGTGTGGGGATTAAGACTCCGTCTTAGGAGGTCCAGAGTTCCATCTTCATCGTTCTTGAGACTTCTCCATTGAAGCAGACCTTGGCTTTCCTCCCTGTGAGGTAGTCTTCAACCCATTTCATGAGTCTCCCCTTGACACCCATGCATGCAAGCTCGTCCAGGATCGCAATTCCCTGTGCTTTGTCGAAGGCTCCTTTAATGTTAGCATATACAGAGTACCTAGCTGTGTCATTAGCCAAGTAATGAACTATACAATTTGCTGTGCTCCGTCCTTGAACAAGTCCATTGACCCCCTCCCCTAACCTGCCTATTTTGTGCAACAGACGGTTTAGGATGATCCTTTCAAGCATCTTTCAAGTGCATGACTGATAGGTCTGTAATTGTTAGGGTCATTGGGCTTCGGTATGGGAACAATTATTGCGTGTTTCCATTGTGTGGGCAACACTCCACTTAGGAATGACTTGTTAAACAGGTGGAGTAGTGGATTGCCAGACACTTCACACAGTGTATTGAGTATGTCGTAGGTGGCGCCATCCTCACCAGGTGAAGTACTTTTACCCTTTTTCATAGCCCCCTTACTTCTGGCTGTGACTGGTTGCCCATACTCGTCATCACTAGACTGTACTCTTGTTATCCTAATTCTTCTGTCATTATGTCGCAGGAGCTGTTCCCTGCTGATTTCTGTTGGGAGGGAGGAGGAGGATGCTGCATCACTCCACTTGTGAGTAAATTCTTCAGCCTTATCCATGGGATAAGGCACTCCAACCACCACCTTCTGAAGCTCACAAGCAATCCAGTTGGGATCGCCCCATTGTCGATCAAGCAACTGCGATATGCCTAGAAGCTGCGACAACACCTAGGGTGCAAAACCCCCAAACATTTCCCTAACTACCGGGTACTGCCATGCCCAGGAGGCATGGCAGGATGTGCAGAATACCCCAGTTTAAGAGCAGAGGTGCAATAGTTACTCTGAGAGAGAATTCTATCAACATCAGAGGCCCGAGACTGTTAAACACGCTTCCACTACATAACTGGCCGACCCCTCACAGTGTTCAAGAGAGAGAACTCGATAAGCATCTCCAAAGGATACCTGATCAACCAGGTTGTGATTCATACGTCAGGCTGCAAGCAGCCGCGTCCAACAGCCTAGTTGACCAGTCCAGCAACCAGGAGGCCTGGTCGAGAACCGTACCACGGGGACGCTAAGCTCCGAAATCATCTCAAGGTAAGAGTACCTGTTTACGGCACAAGGTGAACAGTTGTATTAGGTGAAAGGAAATGTTACCAAAATCATGTGTAATTTAGAGGTCACTCACGTGTCCTCTGCTGCTGCAGGAGGTCGTCACCACCAGGTCCTTGGATCCCTTCAAGGTCGTAGTCATGGCCCAGGCTTCGTAGGGCGCTCCTCCACACTCCCGTGACAAGCTCCTCTCCTCTGGGAGCAGGTCGTCGTCCAGGTCAAACCTGAGAACGTGTCCTGCAGAGGGGAAGTGTTCCTGGCGTCAGAGATCTTTGTCATCAGTACAGATAATGAAATATTTACTGCTCTGACCGTACAGGTAAATATGTCCTAGACCATTAATAAGTAGAGGAAAGGTGTCTTTCATCATCTACCAGTAGACAAACATATCATTGCTCCTCTACCAGTAGACAAGCATATAACTGATTATCTACCACTAGACAAACATATAATTCATCATCTACCAGTAGACAAACATATCATTCATCATCTACCAGTTGACAAACATATCATTGCTCCTCTACCAGTAGACAAGCATATAATTGATTATCTACCACTTGACAAACATATAATTCATCATCTACCAGTAGACAAACATATCATTCATCATCTACCAGTAGACAAACATATCATTCATCATCTACCAGTAGACAATGGTGTGTGTGATCCTTCACCAGTGCACACGGAGGGGGTCATTAATCACTGGTCAACAGGCACAAAGGTTTCTCTCATTCTCCTCCTGTAGAATTTGCCTTTATTAAGTCAACAGATATCACGTAACTTAAGATATCCGATCATTAAAAAGAGTTATTAACCTTCTAACTGTCGAAAACTAACAATTACAAGTTTAGATTCTTTAGTCTTTGTAACCACGTGTCTTTGTAACCACGTGTCTTTGTAACCACGTGTCTTTGTAACCATGTGTCTTTGTAACCATGTGTCTTTGTAACCATGTGTCTTTGTAACCACGTGTCTTTGTAGCCATGTGTCTTTGTAACCATGTGTCTTTGTAACCATGTGTCTTTGCAACCACGTGTCTTTGTAACCATGTGTCTTTGTAACCACGTGTCTTTGTAACCATGTGTCTTTGTAACCACGTGTCTTTGTAACCACCTGTCTTTGTAACCACGTGTCTTTGTAACCACGTGTCTTTGTAACCACCTGTCTTTGTAACCATGTGTCTTTGTAACCACGTGTCTTTGTAACCATGTGTCTTTGTAAACACGTGTCTTTGTAACCACGTGTCTTTGTAACCATGTGTCTTTGTAACCACGTGTCTTTGTAACTACGTGTCTTTGTAACCATGTGTCTTTGTAACCATGTGTCTTTGTAACCATGTGTCTTTGTAACCATGTGTCTTTGTAAACACGTGTCTTTGTAGCCATGTGTCTTTGTAACCACGTGTCTTTGTAACCACGTGTCTTTGTAACCATGTGTCTTTGTAACCATGTGTCTTTGTAACCACGTGTCTTTGTAACCACGTGTCTTTGTAACCATGTGTCTTTGTAAACACGTGTCTTTGTAACCAAGTGTCTTTGTAACCACCTGTCTTTGTAACCACGTGCCTTTGTAACCAAGTGTCTTTGTAACCACGTGTCTTTGTAACCATGTGTCTTTGTAACCATGTGTCTTTGTAACCATGTGTCTTTGTAACCACGTGTCTTTGTAACCATGTGTCTTTGTAAACACGTGTCTTTGTAACCACGTGTCTTTGTAATCATGTGTCTTTGTAACCACGTGTCTTTGTAACCACGTGTCTTTGTAACCATGTGTCTTTGTAACCATGTGTCTTTGTAACCATGTGTCTTTGTAACCATGTGTCTTTGTAAACACGTGTCTTTGTAGCCATGTGTCTTTGTAACCACGTGTCTTTGTAACCATGTGTCTTTGTAGCCACGTGTCTTTGTAACCATGTGTCTTTGTAACCACGTGTCTTTGTAACCATGTGTCTTTGTAGCCATGTGTCTTTGTAAACACGTGTCTTTGTAGCCACGTGTCCTTGTAACCACGTGTCTTTATAACCAAGTGTCTTTGTAAACACGTGTCTTTGCAAACACGTGTCTTTGTAGCCACGTGTCCTTGTAACCACGTGTCTTTGTAAACACGTGTCTTTGTAAACACGTGTCTTTGTAACCACGTGTCTTTGTAGCCATGTGTCTTTGTAACCACGTGTCTTTGTAACCACGAGTTAGGACGTTCTACATTTAATTTACTGGTTGGCAGCGTGGGCTTCCACGCCAACACTACGTACTCTAGCACAGGGCGCTGTATACGGTGGCCATTATCCTGAATGGACCTCAGTTAAGAACTGTGTAATTACACCTGCCAACCCCCGTCAACACCTTTGGTGTTATCTGCTCCTGTGGGCCTCGGTCAAAAGGTTAGATTTGACGGCTGGCACCCCGGATGCTTGAATTTTAAGGCGTTAGTGGCTGATATTTTTAAACGCGGTTCGACTCCTCTGACGGTAGAGTGCCGGTCTGGATTCATGCAGGTCGGCGTTCAATCCCCGACCGTCCACAAGTGGTTGGTTAACATTCCTTCCTTCTCCGTCCCATCCACAATCTTTATCCTGACCCCTTCCCAGTGCTGTATAGTCGTAATGGCTTAGCGCTTTCTCCTGATAGTTCCGTTCCTCTGACACATCATCTGATCTTATCATCATTATCTCGCCAGCACTGAACTCCAGCCTCACCTCTCACACCAGCCTCACCTCTCACACCTGCCTCACCTCTCACACCTGCCTCACCTCTCACACCTGCCTCACCTCTCACACTAGCCTCACCTCTCACACCTGCCTCACCTCTCACACCTGCCTCACCTCTCACACCTGCCTCACCTCTCACACCTGCCGCACCTCTCACACCTGCCTCCTCTCTCACACCAGCCTCACCTCTCACACCAGCCTCACCTCGGACACCTGCCTCACCTCTCACACTTGCCTCACCTCTCACACCTGCCTCACCTCTCACACCAGCCTCACCTCTCACACCTGCCTCACCTCTCACACCAGCCTCACCTCTCACACCTGCCTCACCTCTCACACCAGCCTCACCTCTCACACCTGCCTCACCTCTCACACCTGTCTAAACTCTCACACCAGCCTCACCTCTCACACCTGCCTCACCTCTCACACCTGCCTCACCTCTCACACCTGCCTCACCTATCACACCAGCCTCACCTCTCACACCTGCCTCACCTCTCACACCTGCCTCACCGCTCACACCAGCATCACCTCTCACACCTGCCTCACCTCTCACTCCAGCCTCACCTCTCACACCAGCATCACCTCTCACACCTGCCTCACCTCACTCCAGCCTCGCCTCTCACACCAGCCTCACCTCTCACACCTGCCTCACCTCTCACACCAGCATCACCTCTCACTCCAGACTCACCTCTCACACCTGCCTCACCTCTCAATCCAGCCTCACCTCTCACACCAGCCTCACCTCTCACACCAGCCTCACCTCTCACACCAGCCTCACCTCTCACTCTAGACTACCTCTCACACCAGCCTCACCTCTGACACCTGCCTCACTTCTCACACCAGCCTCACCTCTCACACCTGCCTCACCTCTCACACCTGCCTCACCTCTCACACCTGCCTCACCTCTCACACCAGCCTCACCTCTCACACCAGCCTCACCTCTCACACCTGCCTCACCTCTCACACCTGCCTCACCTCTCACACCTGCCTCACCTCTCACACCTGCCTCAACTCTCACACCTGCCTCACCTCTCACACCTGCCTCACCTCTCACACCGGCCTCACCTCTCTCACCTGCCTCACCTCTCACTCCAGCCTCACCTCTCACTCCAGCCTCACCACTCACTCCAGTCTCACCTCTCACACCAGCCTCACCTCTCACTCCAGCCTCACCTCTCACTTCAGCCTCACCTCTCACTCCAGCCTCACCACTCACACCTGCTTCACCTCTCACACCAGCCTCACCTCTCACACCTGCGTCACCTCTCACTCCAGCCTCACCTCTCACTCCAGCCTCACCTCACACTCCAGCCTCACCTCTCTCTCCAGCCTCATCTCTCACTCCAGCCTCACCACTCACACCTGCCTCACCTCTCACACCTGCCTCACCTCTCACACCAGCCTCACCTCTCACTCCATCCTCACCTCTCCCACCAGCCTCACCTCTCACTCCAACCTCACCTCTCCCACTAGCCTCACCTCTCACTCCAGCCTCACCTCTCACACCAGCCTCACCTCTCACTCCAGCCTCAACTCTCACACCAGCCTCACCTCTCACTCCAGCCTCACCACTCACTCCAGTCTCACCTCTCACACCAGCCTCACCTCTTACTCCAGCCTCACCTCTCACACCTGCCTCACCTCTCACACCTGCCTCACCTCTCACACCTGCCTCACCTCTCACTTCATCCTCACCTCTGACACCTGCCTCACCTCTCACACAAGCCTCACCTCTCACATCAGCCTCACCTCTCACACCTGCCTCACCTCTCACACCTGCCTCACCTCTCACACCTGCCTCACCTCTCACACCAGCCTCACATCTCACACCAGCCTCACCTCTCACCCCTGCCTCACCTCTCACACCTGCCTCACCTCCCACTGCAGCCTCAGCTCTCACTCCAACCTCACCTCTCACACCTGCCTCACCTCTCACACCTGCCTGACCTCTCACACCTGCCTCAACTCTCACACCTGCCTCACCTCTCACACCAGCCTCACCTCTCACACCTGCCTCACCTCTCACACCAGCCTCACATCTCACACCAGCCTCACCTCTCACCCCTGCCTTACCTCTCACACCTGCCTCACCTCCCACTGCAGCCTCACCTCTCACTCCAACCTCACCTCTCACACCTGCCTTACCTCTCACACCTGCCTGACCTCTCACACCTGCCTCAACTCTCACACCTGCCTCACCTCTCACACCTGCCTCACCTCTCACACTAGCCTCACCTCTCACTCCAGCCTCACCTCTCACACCTGCCTCACCTCTCACTCCAGCCTCACCTCTCACACCAGCCTCACCTCTCACTCCAGCCTCACCTCTCACACCAGCCTCACCTCTCACTCCAGCCTCACCTCTCACACCAGCCTCACCTCTCATTCCAGCCTCACCTCTCACTCCAGCCTCACCTCTCACACCTGCCTCACCTCTCACACCTGCCTCACCTCTCACACCAGCCTCACCTCTCACACCTGCCTCACCTCTCACACCAGCCTCACCTCTCACACCTGCCTCACCTCTTAC